CATTTTGATATATGTTAGCAAATGTTATTGCATTAACTTCACCCAATCAAATTCTGGCTTAGATGCATTTCTCCCATTGAAAAAGTCAAATGCCGAACATAATGATATATGTATTGTAGAAATTGATATGATATATGCGTACTATTGTACACCTTCTACCAAAAGTATTTGATCGTTCAATATCACAATATCAAAAAAATCGGATTATTTTTTTTTCAATAAAACAAATCAGTACGAACGTAAATCATATAAAGTTTAGACTCATGACTTGCTCATGACTTTAACCCTGATAAATTTAAATAGGACGAATACCTTTTTTGTAAAAGTATAGATATTGATATACGTATGCATTATTATACTTATTAGCTTATTAGAGCATACTTAATAGCATACATGAAGTTGCAAAAGTCATTTTTAACCTGATTCTTTTGATTTTAACGAATAATTATTTTGCAGTATGTAATAAAAAATAATATGGATGTAAATAAATTAAACCCTGCATTAAATCAAATGACACGTAACAAACATTTAGCAATTTAAGATTGTGGATCTTTACTATATTATAAAGAGATGAAAGTTACCATTAAATATTGTCATGCGATGGCTCATATCTTGATATCTATTTGTACATACTTCTGCACGTATTGATCCTTTTTTTAAACGATGTGGGACGTCCTATTTGAAATTCGAAAACGTCACTTGAAACTATATATTAATGCATATATTAAAAATTATTTTTGAATCCAGACCAAAATGTTATTATGTCATATATAAAATTGGACCGGGTTCAAAAATAATTACTCATGTGTATATAACAGCAGAGACCGTTGATGTTACACGACTGATCCTTCACCCGGTGTGAAAAACATAAAAAAACATTTTACAATACCAGATCATTCCGCTAGTACATGTTATGATTATAATCCAACACCATTTGATTATAATAAAAATGGTGTTGGATTATAATCATAACATGTACTAGCGGAATGATCTTGTTTTTTTATGTATTGCACACCGGGTGAAGGTCTCTCCTGTATATTTATATTAATATTAAGGTATATAGTCATATACAGTATATATATTAATAATGTTAATGCTAAATATCACTATATATATACTATATATATTATATAATATATAGCATATATAAAAGATATAAATTATATATATAATATATTGATAATATATAATATATACGTATAATATATATAATATACGTATATATTTTATATAAACCAGTAATAAAATTTTCATAATTCATTTTCTTACATGCGTGACAGTAGCCTCTAAGCTTCTTGAGCCACATTTCTACTTTTATACAAATTATTCGGTTCGTCAGTAGCTATTAATAGCGCGTTATCCTGTTTTAGTTTATAAACAAACATTTTAATTTGGGCTTTTATGGTTAACTTTGATCGGTCCAAGTATTCCTTGTATAAGACGTAAAATCATATACATAGGAAGAACTTCGTGCCTGGCATAAAATTATTAGAACAATATGGCTTGTTTGTTTATACGTACGTGTATTAACACCACTCAAAAACTTTTAATATAAATCAAACCGGTATCCAATAGAATACCGCGGAATAACCCTCGCTAATTTACATAATTTATCATTCCTCTTATACATTTAATGAAAATTTTACTGTCCATTCCCTGTTATAATTCTCGTTCCATATGCATTCTATCTGTCCCGCCAATCTCATGATCGCATAGATAATGTATAAAATGAATATCTGATTATGTTATATAATATTATGTTATGTAACTATAATATAAGCGTTCCAAATTTCTCAAGAAAAAGTATGCATTTAATACATTGGATTCATGTTCCAATAGTCTAGATACCACTTACCACTGATTTGTACTGACTTGTAATGTTCTTGATGTATATTATCTACCTGTTTAATCATGTTTTGTTTTGATTACTTACTTTCCTATGCTTTTAGATCTAACTTTTATTAGCAAATCGGAGTTTAAGATTTTCATATTAAAAAAATTTTTCCCATAACCAATATGATTATGGGGGACCAGTTAAATCTATGATATACTTAAAATGGTTATTAAATATTCAATATCCTTTTCATAATTCCTGGCCTAGTTCGTTCTTTAATTTCCCAGGTTTATGCTTGCATGTGAATGGCGTATCTTCTTCCAAGTTTACGTTACTTCAAACTAAAATGATTGTATCACCATTTTTTTTTTAAAAAACACATACACAGCCTTACAAGTTTCAAAAGTATAAATCGTATTGATGCATGCATATTTAACGAGAACAAAACAAGAATTTTTTCGATCTAAATTTTCCGACCGATTATAATAACATGAAAAATACGTATGTGCATTATGTATATTATTGTGAGTATATGTATATATTTATTAAAAATACAAAAATCATTTGACTTATACTTATCGGTTATATATTAAAACTGTATACAAAAATCATTCGATTTATGCTTTCGTGCAGTACTACAATAAAGTCAAAAATGTTTGAAGTTTTCATTATCGATTAGATTCATTCAATAATTCAATAAAGTTGTTTTAATATACTTTCGTCTTAACATTTTTCATTTTCCAATAATTTACTAAAGTAGTAATTGCATTTCCATAGTTTCGGGTTGAACATATTGTATGTATAGCAATAGTAATAATAAGCAATGTTACACATTTGTAGTCCTTATTTATATTTAAGTTTGATACATTTATGCATCTCATTGATCATAATTGAAAAAAAAATTTCAAAAATGATTAATGACTTTTCTTTTTCCAAACAAGATCTTTTTTCGGTGTTATTTTCTTTCCAAAAAAAATTTTTTTTAATCCGATTTTTTTCTGAAATTAAAAAAAAAATCTTCTAAAAAAAAACAGAAAATATTTGTATGTTTTAAAAAAATATATATATATTTGTATGTTTTTATAAATATATATATTAGTATTTTTTAAAAATATATATATATTTGTTTTTTTTTATTAAAAAAAAAAATTATGAATCTGCTTGTGTTAGGCTAATTTTCGCTCTAAACCTGTTAATTTTTTTTCCTTCGTATCATCCAAATTTTTAATAAAAATTAATAAAATTTCAAATTACGTAAACACATTTTTTAAGATCTGTATCATGTTACGTTACGCAAAATTATTTTTTTTTCTTTTTGTGATGCTGAGAACCAGCGAATATTGAAAGGTGTTTCCTAGCTGATCGGGTGAAGGGTTGTTTATTCTAGTCGCAGCGAAAATTATTACCTTTAGCACACAATGATGTTAATTACCAGTCAAACCGCAGTATCGCATAAATTTGCGTGTAAAAAATTAAAAAATTACCCTAAATTTATGGCGTGATATGATATATGTTTAACGTGAGTCAAATCATTTGACTATAAATATATTTATAAGAACCGAATTTTAACGGTAAAAAGAGATGGGTTTTAAGGTGGGAAGATGGGTTTGACGTGATAATTATATTAGTTTTATTGATTTCAGAATTTTGGGGGTTCAGTTTAATAGATGCGTCATAATTTTGACCCAATTCCAAAAATGCGCCCGAATGTTAATTATGTTTGTTAAGTATCTATTTTCAGCGCATTAACAAATGAGATTTTGGTATAAATGTAGGCTGCCTAATCCGAAAATACCATGGATTTTTTATACCGGTGATAGACAATTTTACTATGGAGCAGGGATCAATATTTCCTCGTTATTTTGCGTCTTACTGTAAAAGGCTTGACAAACGTAACAAAAGCATACAAATAGTTTTGTAAAAGTTATTGAAAAAATAATAATATGATAATATAATAATAACAATAAATCGAGTAAAGAACAACTTTCAACTATTTTCGAAAAATGGCGTTTTCGTTTTATTAAAATTTATTGATTAAAAAAATTTTTTTTTTAAATTTGCGCAAATTACCTTTGCGTCATTAAAGGGACGCAAATTATAGAAAATTTTTGAAACTATATTTAATTCATTGAATTCGCATGTTATCTTTTATTTGACATTTTTGGAAATTTACTAATTGGTTTTCTTGTTACTAAATGTCCGCGCTTTTGTCAGGCATTTTTTTATTATTATATAATTAGAGATTTATTTAACCGGCATTAAATAATTCTGGCATAATGTGAACCGGGACTATAACCCAGTTTTTAAACGGTTAAACGGTTTCAATCGTAATCACGATTATGTTTGTGATTTTAGGGTCGTTCAAAAATGACCCGCAAGTAGGAAAAAAAAGTTTGAGACCGAGTAACCATAGACCACTTCATGTTAAAAATTCGTTCATAAGCCCGTCCATGCGCAATTTCCACCTGTTAAAATAATAACAGTGCATTCCTTCACCTTCCGCTTTTTTGCGGTTATTAATGTTGATGGTAAATGTCAAAATGGGTGGAACTAAAAATGGTTAGAAACTTACGGATTTTTGCGTTTATAGTATTTCTAAAAAAAATATGCTTAAATATGAAGCAGATACATATGTTGTAAGCGGAAACCGAACTTAAGCAGATTTGGAATTTCTTTGGATTTTTAGGGTTAGATTCCGTTTCCACTTACAACATATACGTATTAATGGCGTTCTCAACATCGATAAGCTTACTAAAAATAGGTCCATTACAGGCCTGTATCATCTAATACGTAATAAGTTTTTTAATATCGATATACGTAGACACATATATAAATTACTGAACTTCGTTGTCGATTGCAACATTCAATAAAGTCATAAGCACCCTTGCCTGAATTTTAAACTTCGATAGTTGATCCTTTTAAATTAAAAATTATACATTATTGGTACCCGTAAAATCAATTACCGGTAGTACTGTAACACGGGTGAGTGAGTCAGTCACGGAAATAATTTCGTAATTATGACGTACTATATTTCGTCATTCTTTCATCACCATAGACACATAATTAATATATATACAAACCGCCATCTTTTCTCAAAGTTTTACAAATCAAAAAAGTACAAATCAAAACCCCAAACTTTATTTTTTTAAAAATAACCCTTGCTAAAATGTCCATTGAAACAAGAAACGAAAACCTTGTTAATCACCCTGAACATGTAGCACCAGATAAAGTTGCTCATGTTACTCAACAAAGTTCAACTGCTCTTGATGGTGTTGGTGCTAACGAAATTGGTGCAAACCCAATCGGTATTTTTTATTAAAGAAAAACATTTTCCTTTTTTTTTTTTTTATATTAATAAATCTTCATTGTAGATGAATCCGCCGAAAAACCATCAACGATTAAAGAAAGTGTAAGCGAAACTATTAGCAAGACTATTGATGCTGTTAAGGTATAATATATATCTTGTGTGATTTTTCATATTAAAAATCATAATTACGATGTAAACTAAACTCGATTCGATAATTATAGGAAACTTTTGGCAACATTGTAGGCACCAATAAACCTACGGACGCTGACAAAAAATCTGATGATTCTAAAACAAATGGCGAATCTAAAGATGTAATAAAATCATAAATTTGAATCTATTTTTATGTTTTGAGAACTTTCTATAAATGTATATGCTTTATGATCTTGTATCATATTTATATTCTTTATTTTGAATTTAACTCAAGTCCATTTTCTTCTTTATTTACAAGTTAATTTATTTTTCATAATCTTTATTAAATAGTGAAAACCAATAAATCAAACTATTTTGCCATTTATTATTTACGTGTATTGTTGCATAATAAATCAGATTAAAATATATATAATTTGGGTTTCTTATTTATTCTAAGAATTGAAACCGTTAATCTTTTTTGTTAACAATTCTAATCCTAATAAACCAAACCAAAAATGTGTTAAAAAAAAAAGTTTTATGAATTAGACTATATGTTAACCTGTTTTTATTAAATTGCAATAAATTATGATAGGAATTAATCATTGTCACGGTTAAAACTAGAAATGGTTAAGTTGGAATTTGATTTTTTAAAATTTTTAAAAAGATAGAATTTAGGGATGTTATCGGCTTGGATAGCTTAAAGAAGTCATAGCCAAGCTATAACTAAGCCATGGTTCAAGCTATTGGCTACAATTAAAACTAAAACTAATAATTATTTTTTTTAGCTTTAAGTAATTTTTAATTTCGGCTTACGCTATAGCTTTAGACTATTGGATTGGCTTGCTTCCAGCTTAGTTTCAAATTGTAGCTAAAGCTGACTTCAAGTAAAGTCAATAACATCACTAATAGAATTAGAATCAGTGTTTATAATAAAAGATACGTATAAGTAGATTTTAGTAGAGTTTATATTAAATATTTTTAACTTTTGGTTTTGTTATTTTTAGTTTTAAGAGTTAAGTTCTATTTGTAAAATAAATATAAAATTAATAATATATTTTTTTAAAAAAATTATTAAATTATTTTAAAGTTAATAAACTGATTTTAATAATAGTGAAATTATTAAATTTTCATAACACATATGCATTTAAGTTATATATAGATAGAGTGAGTTTTATAAAAAGTCATTATCTTTTTAATTATAAAAATTTTTAAATTAATATAATTTTTTGAAAACTAAAGATCAAAAAAATATATATATATTTAATAGTTTTTTATTTAAATTATTAAATTTACAAAAAAAATTTTAATCATCTTTTATAATTAAAACAGTATATCAATTTAAATTATTTAAGAATCAAAATTTTGATGTTTATTATATAAAAAATATTATAAACTATAAATTTATTAAAATGATATAAGTATTGTTAAGAAAAAAAAGCAAAGTAGTTTTTTTAGTAAATTATTAATTCTTTTTCTAATTTAATTTTTCTAATCTGGTATACTGAATATTAAATATTAATATTAATATTTATATGTTTTTAAAAAATTAATTATTATGGTTTTATTATTAATATTAAAAAAAAATTAATTATAGAGTATAAGTTTTATAGCTTAGCAATTAAGTTTCTATATCTTCACAGTTAAGATTAACAGTTTAAATCTAACTAAAAACAAAAAATCAAAAAGATTTTAGTTTTTGTAATCCAAAAAAAAGTTTAGTAATTAATACAAAGTCTTATAAACAAAAACCAAATGCAGTATATAATTAAAATAAAAATTTATAAGAAAAGATCAATTTTGCAAAATGTTAGCATTATATATAATAGCAGCAGAACAGAAGGTTTTGTTATATAAAAGGTTGTGTAAATAAGTTTTTCAGAAATAAGGTAACATTAACATTTTTGCATTCAATTTATAGAATACTTAATTAGAAAAATAATACTAAGATAATATAAATTAAAGTAGTAAAAAAAGTAGTAAATATAAGAGGTGTAGTAACCTAGTGAAGTGGTCAGGTTGTCAACTCTCCAAGTGGTAGATTGGATGTTCAAATCTTATTGACAGCATAAATTTGAATAATCACCTATATAATATTTGTATTATGGCAACTGTTACTAACAATTGGGTTAGGATACCTGTAATAGCAGTTATACCAGTATGACTGACAGGTCATAGAACATCTGTGCAATGTTGGAGTTACACAAAAGAATACAAACTAACAAATTAGGCAGTACAAATACTAGATAAGTCCTTGTAGTCATATAAATTTATTAAAATTGGATAACAAGAAGTCCATTTGGGAAGACCCAAATAGAAAGGTAGTTGGATCTTTGACAATCCTATTGTAAAGACTAGTCTGATAAAATAGATACCAAGGTCTAGTATCTGGTCATAGTAACTAGACAGACAAGAACCTCTGGATTAGAAGTTTCTAAGATACCACTAACCAGACTGTCAGAATGAACTAGAGAAAAAGAATATTAGACTAATTTGATATACTAATAGTCCTACACAGATTATCTGAATTAGAAGTTTGATAAAAAGGCAAAGAAAAAGGCAAAGGTATACTAAATTACAGGGTTATACTATGAAGTAAATGCTAGGGTCTAAGTGAATTCTATAAAAGCACAGTAGTTTAATGGTTAAGCTCTAACTATAAGTGTTAGTTCTGCCATAATAATATTTAGATCAGCTGTAAAAATAAGTACAGAAGGCTCTAAAGGGTTTATCTCAAGAATAAATTAGTCCTAAAGTTAAGACAATAATTTGGGCATCTGAGTATAACCCAGTAAATTAACACAAGTTACAGATTCAGAAAGTTTAAAATAGAACACCTAAGCAGAGGCATTAGGTATGACAATTGATAAAGAACCTTTAGATGAACTCCTTAAATAGGTAATATAGAAAAGTTACACATGTAGCCAATTGTATGCTCTTTTGTAATAGTTCATTAAACCACAATACCAATAAGTGATTAATAAAAGTCAAAAGACCAAAGAGGTTATCTTAATACCAAAAAAAAAAAAAATAGTAAATATAAAGAAAATTTATAATAAAAAATTAGTTTCTTTAAGATTAGAAATACTTCTTATACTGTAAAATTAGTTGATATAAAAGATATCTATATGCATAAAGAATGTAACCTGTTTTATATATCTAAAAATATCAAATTAAAACTTTAATTACATCTATATAAAGTTTTTGATAAAAAAAAACTATTAATATAAATGCTATACCAATTATAGATAAGAAATATTTTAATTGAAAGTAGTAATAATATTATAATAATTAATAACTAGAAGAAATTACTTGAATTATAGTTTTAATTAAATTATAAAAAGAAGTATTTAAAGAATAGATTAGATATACAATCTATTAAAAATAATACTAAAATTAGAAAAATGTAAATTAGTAATAATAATTTGATATAAAATATATTCTACTAGTATCTAAATTAAAAAATTAGTAATAGTAACAAAAAATTTTGATTTAAAATATAAGTTATAAAATGTCTTTTTAATAAACCAAAAATAGTAGTTCAAAAAAAACAAATAACTCATTAGATTAACTTAAAAATTATTAAAATAAATTGTAAGATATAAATAAAATATATAGAATATAAATAGATATAAATTAAAACTTTAAGTTAAATATAAGTAAAATAAAGATAAATTAACAGAAAATGTAATACTAGATACTGTTTAGTTGTTATTATATTTATCAATATATTGAATTAAATTTTGAATAGTTTGACTATAGAAAAAAAGTGATAAATTGTAATAAAGAAAGAATTTGTTAAAGCATGTATGAAGATTATAGAAAATTAAAGATGTTGTAAATGATCTTTCAAAATTGTTTTCTACAGAGTCAATCACTGTATGCTTAGCTCTCACAGCTGTACAAAATACTATAGTCTGCCCTGTATATTAGATCTAACCATCATTATCCTAGCCTTTTATATAAATAAGCTTGTCAACCTGCCTATTTATCTCTTTTTTTTTACTAACTACAATGGGTGTGTCTTTTAATAAGTTAATAACTGCTTTAATGTTGGTTGTAGAAGACAAAGAACTTAAAAAAAAAATTGTAAAAAAAGTGAGTCTAAAATGAAAACAGGTTGGAAGTTAAGATTAAATTTCTTTGATAAAAATTTTTCAGCTGCTAAATAGGCAGTATCATTAAAATATTTTACAATTTGTAAGTAGATTGGCTTTTGGTTTTTAATAACATCAAAATATGTGATAATTTGAATAAGAAATAGTATTAATAATGTTTTTTGTAAGTAAGTTAATAGCCTCCTTCTTGAACAGAAACTATATATTATGATTTTAGTAGTAGTTTGATAATAGAAAGAGAGGTAGCAGTAAAAGTAATAGTTATAACATTTAAAATTAGTTTTTACTTTATTTTGTTTACAAACAAAGTTTTCAGCTTGGTTAGCAAGCTTGTCTAAGGATTTAATAAGAATGAATTAGTCAAGTGAAGCAGCATATTCTTTATTTTTGTAAAATAAAGTAGAATTAAAAGTTGGATGAATCTAAGTTTCATCATTCTGAAAAGAAAATAATGAGTAAGATTTAGTTAGAATGTTATTAAATAGCTTGGTACTGTTATAGAATTTTTTGTTGTCAAGGTATTAATATTCTTTGTTGTTACAAGTAAAATAATGAAATTAGCAACACAAGATGCTTCTTTATATTGCTCCTGAAATGAGTTAGGTTTTTTAAAAATATAAGTTCAGAAAGGTATTTAGAGAGTTAGAGGATAAAATGTTGATGAAATTAAATTTTAAGAGAAATATGGACTTTTTTTTGTTAATATTAGAAGAAAATTGTTTGCTGTAAGAAGAATAGTAGATATCAAACTAGGAATTAAAGTGATTAAGAGAATTTTTTAGTAAAAAAATACAAAATCTTTTAAGAAAGAAAGTTTTAAGAATATTAAAATAAAGTTTAATATTAAATCTAGCATCTGACTAGATAGTAAAGTATTTTTATTTAAAGTTTGTAGTTTGTATAAAAGATTTAATTTTAAATTTTTTGGATCTAAGCTGAAGGTCTTTAGTAAATTTTTGGTAATCAATAGACTGATAGTTATTGAATAAGAAAAGGTGAAGATGTGCAAGATTAAGACAGAGTTGAAGATAATTGTGAGCTATATATAGAGAAATAGTAACTGATAAAGCAAAGATTTTGAG